TAAAATTATGAAGCATTTAATATTTGCAAAGTTATTGCCCATTTTGTAAAAAGTCTCATCCAAACTTTTATATATATTTTTTTCCAGGATAGTAATGTGTAAATTGTTTTGGTATTTCGTACAGTTTCGTAAAACAAAAGAATAGTAAATTTAATTTACATAGACCAGAGATGAAGAACATTTTCCGCTGAGCATACAAGACTTTGCGAAAAGAAGCCTAATAATTACCTAGATTTAAGATTATTTTCACCTTGAGGACTAGCTTTATTAAAGGATATTTTCTCGCTTGAAAATCCTAAGTCAACCTCGATTTAAGGTTTTTATATAAAACAGTGGTTACCAACTGGCGGCCCACGAAGCTTTTTTTGTGGCCTGCGAACTAAAATATATTAGTTGTCATTTCTTTACGAAGAATTTTCGTATGGGTTTAAAATACTTTTCTTTCATTTAAAAAAAACCTAATTATTTTCGTTTTTGTGAAATTTAACATATCAACGGTGCAAAAAAAAAATTTTCTCAAGTTTTGAATCCAAGAAAATATTTATGCAAGAAAATATTTATTATTATTTGTAATTTAATACTTTTGTTTTGTACAACTTGTTAAAAATCTGACAGTAATATTTAATATTCCTTCGAACATTCAAGAGTCCTGTATAAATTTTTGATGAAGTTGCGACCCGCCATTTGACTGGTGTTTTAATTTGCGGCCCCCGGCCTCATGTAAGTTGGAAACCCCTGGAAGGTTGTTTTCCAAGGTTTTGGATCAAGGTAATGCGAGTAGAATAGAGCAAATTGTCACAGATCTCGTTTTAAAATTAGATGGTTTACACGTAAACCGCATAACAAACCTTTTTAGGTTTACATTAAAAAGATTTTAATGAGGGAAAATAAACCTTATTTTGCTATTTGGAAGTTAACTAACAGTTTATTATTTTCAGGTGCCCAGTGTGCCACCTGTTTTATTTCCTTGAAAAATTATACTTGAACCGCTGGTTTGACGGAACTGCAGGATCACATGGCGCAACTAGTTTTTAACCAGCCTCTAATGGAAGTTTGAAAGATTTTTATAGTTGTTCACAAAACGTAAAAGATTGGAAAACTACTTAAGGAACAGGAAAACAATCAGGCATTTAACATCTGAACAATCACTTAATCCTCTTATATTGTTCAATAATTGCACTGTATGACTATATTAGTTTCTGCAATGACAACAGAAGTACCTTGCGAATAGAATTCAATATATTTTTACTAGATTTGTCAAAAAATATAAGATTTAGCTGCTGATCATATCAAATCAATACGTGATTATTTTGCTTACATAATTCAATAACTGATTGTAAAGACCTACATCGTCTTTACTTTATCTACAACGCGTTGAAGTGAAGATAGGATGCTCCTTGAATCGGGCCCTGTGCCTTGGCGTTTTTACTATACATGGAATCGTCCGCCATTTTCCTATTATTTCCATCGCGATCACTTATTTTTAGAAATATCAGTCAGAAACATCATTTTACCTGTTTTGTGTAGGAATATAAAAAATCTCCAAAGTAACTTTTATACCCGTTTATTTTATGGATCAGATGTTTTGCAAGATTTTAATGCTGGTTCACAGAATTTTAATGGCTGAAAAATCCTTTAAGAAACGAGAAAACAAGGATTTCTCATTCGGTTTTTCAATCAATCAAAGAAAATTCTCATCATAAATCAAACTAGGCATCGCATAGTCGAACAAAAACATGAAATGAAAGGAAAAGCACATCTTAAGAAATTTGGTGGAAGAAAAAAAAATCTATCTTCAACCATTTATCAATCTGCTTTTATACAAAATGGCACTTAAACTAATGTAGTTTACGTGACGTAAATTGGATCAGCCTACCGTAACCTATTATTCTTACCAATGATACGTTAAAAGGACTTCCGTTACGAGACCATGACTTCACTTCAGTTGCGACGCCCTCGTGTTTTGTCCCGAACTTACCTTCTTACTTCACTTCAATGTCTTCTCCGCATTCTTTCCCTTTCTTATTTAATGTCACCTTCCAACTCTCACTTCACGGCCTATTTACCAGCCATTATTGAAAGCTTTGTTTACCCTGGTGGCAACCCTATGAATAATAGCAGACGATTCGTGCGGATTGATTTGAAGGTGAGAGTTGGCCATCTTGTTTATTCTTTTGTTATTGTTTGTTGATGCTAACGACTTTCACTTTTCGGAACACGAAACAATTTTGAATTCACTTTCATAATTCCGGATACATTTTTTTTCCTGGTTATGTTAATGGTTTCTGTAATGTAACAATAAAAGGGAATTTTTAATATTTTCTCAAACTACTCATTTTTTTAAAAAACATTTTTTAAAAAAAAAGAAAATTCTAAACGTCTTCCTATCAACCGTGGTGTCTCAGGGGATAGACCGCTCTCCTCCCAAAGAGGAAAACCGGGTTCGATTCCCAGCGATGACTGGTCGAAACGAATTCCGCTCGCTCCAATCACAGTGCTGACGGTAAATATCCTCAGTGGTAGACGGATCATATCATGGGTCTGAATCCTCTTTTGTCGGGCAAACCTTGGGAGATTTTTGTGGTTTTCTTCTCTCTGTAAAGCAAATGCGGGTCAGTTCAATTCAAAAGTCCTCCAAAGGCAAATTTCTCCCAAAACTTGATCCAAGAGCTCCTTTGTCTTCTGGATTGGGTTCAAAGTGACAAGGCAACGGAATTGAACATTAGTAGTCGTAAATTCAAAGGTGGATTGGCTGTTCAACGATGGTTATAAACTTTTTCCTATTATTTCCCACGCAAGGAAACAATACTCTGAAGTCACTAACCTAACCTAAACCTAAGTATCCCTTTTATTATTCCGTTACAAGGTTAGACGATTCCTTTTTATTAAGGGAAAATGTTCATGACTTCCAAATTATCCTTCTTTATCCTCAGTTTGAGAGCTATGGGGAATCATTTTTCAGGGACATATGTGGATAGAGTTTTTAATATAAATGTAAACAACAGCAATCTCAAGCTCTTGACCAGCTCAACTTCCAGTTAGAAAGTATATAGTAGCTTATTCTGCGAGGCGATAGTTTTGAGCAGATAATTTTGTTTTTAATAAGAGAAATAAATTATGTAATTTCTGAGCTCAAATCTGCTGTATTTCATAAGATATTAAGTAATTCTGGTAAGTTTGAAGTGAAAATTTGTTTCAGTTATTTATCGATGTATTGTTAGAAAAGGTAGCAGGGTTTCTAGTTTTGGCAGTTCCGATTTGGCCTCTTTTTACTTGTTAATTACTGTTTGTTCCTGTTGCAAGTCGTGCACCATCATACGTAAGTGTTACCTAGCATATTGAAGCTAAGTTCACTTTACAAATTATCATTTAGGTTTGTTGTTGTTTCTAATGCTACTTGCCACACGGGCAAGCCTGCTTGGTGAAACAGAGCAAATTTAAGGCGGAGTATGCGTTTCTTGTTTTTCAGTGGCGCCATCTATGGCCAAGAATTCGACTTCGTTTATAGGGCGAACCCATTTATACATCCATTCATTCANTAATTTTGACCTGAATCACAGAACGATCGATCTCCAATCCAGTACCCCAGAGGTTTTGATTTGTTATGGGAACATGGAGGACTTTTGCGACTCGACAGATTTAACGTGCATCAGTCACTTTACTACACAAGGAGTCTTCAGTCGGCGGGGTTCGAACCCACGAACTCTGGCCCTACCGACCCTCCCAGGGCCCTACCGACCAGGCCATCCTGGCACTCACTTAGGTTTACATTTCGGAGTTTATATATTGTTGACAATTTAAGTGTTTTATAACGATTCGTTTTTTTTTTTAATGCGTCTTCAAATGATTCTTTTTTCAAACAAAAATAATAAATCAGGTAACAAATACACGTATGCAAGAAATACTACTCAAAATAATCCCAAAACAAGAAGATCGTGTTGTGAGCTAAATGGCTTCAAAATACACTGGAAATGGTAACCCGGAAGTATAGGCAGAAAACAGCTTGAAGCGCTCCCTAGTGTAGAAAACACCACCCATTGTATATCCGTAATTTTATCAGACAAATAAGTCTAAAATTTATTAATTCACAACTCAAATTCCATGTGAAGGATATGTATTCCATATGAAGGACACCATCCATATGAAGGATATGTAGAACATAACTTGTTTGTTTGAATATGGTAATAAATGCTTCTTAGGGAAATTTTCTTAGAATTTTTGGGATAAGTTGTAACCAGTAGTTTGAAGATGTTCCTAGAGTGGTTATAACTTATAGTTAAGTTTAAAAAGGACTTTTCTAATAAAAAAAAAACAGATTCTGTAGTTAGAATTATTGATTAATTTGATTTATTGTTAACCCTAATAAATATGAGACATTTTTTTAGAATTCGCTATTTTAAATTTATTTTTCCTAAAAATGCTTTGCAGTCAAATTTTTTGGAATAAATTTGTAATGAAACTGGAAAGAAGTTCTTAAATTGCAGGTGCTTGCCCCGTCATATGAAAAGAATCATTATGCATATTGACGTTGTTGCAATATCCTAAATAATATTGGAAATAATCCTGATAATAATTTTAAAATATACCGGCATTAAAAAAATAAAATATTTGACTCTATCAAATTTATTAAACACTTAATATCGATATTTTTTATTGTATGATCGAAGCTAATCTTTATTTTTAAGGGATGAACTTCCAAAAGCATGTTTTGCTTGATCTAATAACATGAAGCCACAGGGAAGGGCAACAAATGGCAGTAAATAAAAAAAAAATGAAGAATAAAATAATAAAAATAGCAGCAAATTGGCGCCAATATGTGTGTCAGTTTATATGATAAAAGTCCGTGCAATGAATTTATATGATATTTAACGCGACAAAATTGTCAATATATTTGGCGAATTATAAATTTAAGTGAAAATTTAAACTCTAATTTTTGATCGAAAATGAAATCATTCTTAATCGCAAGAAAAGAAGGCAAGAAACGATCTAAAATAATCCTCTGTTAGAAAGCTCTGCGTTCTTTTCCCTCCCTTCAAATTCTCCGAATGCTCACAGTGAAATTCATATCATATTCAAGGTTATCGATATAACGCCCTCTAGTTGTAAACTTTTAGAACAGCACAACTCTCGTAATTTGATTATTAGAACATAGAATAACGGAAAATCTTATTTTAATTGCGGTCATAATTTTCGCCAGTCTGTTATTCCATTTCCTTTCGATGCAAAGTAAAAATGACCGATTCATTACGCTGTCGCCATATTGTTATTAATTTGGAAATCGAAAATGCAATGATATTGCACAAATTCTATGATGGCGCGATAATTTTTAAATGGCCGATGACTGAAATTGAATGGCTTTTACTATTTCACTTGTCTGATGGTAAGTCATTTATCAAACTAGGAAATTTGGATGGATCTAGTAATGTGTTCTTAAATGGAGAAATCTGTGTTCTAATCAATAACGAAAACAAACACTTATTGGAACGATTTGAGTTCTGTTTTCAGAAGCAAATTATGAAAATAGTTGACGTATCAGCCACGAAAAATATCCTTCTGCGGTTAGAAAATGAGAGGATAAATAATTCCTTGAAACTACGCATTCGTTTATGGTTCACTGGTTCATTGAAATCTTTGCCTGTGCATTTTAACTTCATAACCAAAAGCATTGAACAAATATGTGCTTTTAATTGGACTATCCAAAGTTGTACTGATAAAAATGGAAGGCTTTGTTTCACTGATTATTGCAAGGATGTACCAAGACAGTTTAAGAATTTTACGAACGCACAGACCTTTTGCCTGAGTATTAAATTGCATTTTATTGATTTGCAGGAACCGGGAGCAAGAATGAAATTGGTTGTGCATAAAAGGCAGGGCAATGCAGCAAATTTCTTCGTGAAGTGTAAATTTAATGCTGTTGATGGACAGAATTCGATACCTTTAGAATTTAATTGGACACTATGGAACGGTAAGGAAATTAGTCAATGGTTTGATACCGTGATAACTAAAAGAATTGAAAGCGTTTATTTACAGTCTGGAAAACTTTTTCTGCGTGGCGAATTATTTGTACTTTCACCTTGTCCTATAACCGTCGATAACGCTTCTAGCTTTACAGATCCAGCTCTTTTTTGTGCCTCAAACTATATTTCTGACCGAACTCCCAGCGACGTAGTTTTGCGATCTGGTGGCGATACATATCCATGTCACAAAATGGTGCTTTGCGACAAATCTCCAGTATTTATGGCTATGTTCGACAATGAAACAATTGAGAAAGAAAGTGGTATAGTGGATATTTTGGACATCGATTCTCGTGTTTTGTCACTGTTTTTATCCACGCTTTACTCTGGCGAGCTTGGGGACGTTAATTGGGAATCTGCCGTTGAGTTGTATGCCGTCGCCGACAAGTATGCAGTACCCGAAGTCGTAAAAAAGTGTCAAGACTTTCTCAAGAAAATTATATCGTTGGAAAATGTGTGTAAAATTATGAAACTTGCTGATGATTATCAAGATAATGAATTGCTGGAACTAACTAAACTCTTTTTTATGGATAATCCGAAAGCGATTGTTCGTTCAACGCAATGGCTGGAATTAATGGACAGTAATGTTAATTTGGCCGCTAATTTTATGAGAGTTGCTATATTAAAAGCTGAAGTGGATTAAGAAATACTTAGGTAAATTTTATGAAAGATTATTTTTTAATGGAACTTTATAGTTTATTTATTATTGTATTTTTTCCATTATAGAGATATTATTTCATTCCTGGGTTGGCAAGGTTTAGGACAAAATGGATTAATCCACGGTTTAAACCGTTCTGTCCAAAACCCCTTTGTCCAAAACTGTCTTAAACTGTCCAAAACCCTTTCACTCAAATTATGTCACAATTTTATCTGAACAATATTTAAGAGGTAAAATAAGCATAGATCTAATAACATATTGATAATTAAATATACTAGAGTATAATGTTTTATTAATTTAAAAGTATTATATTTTATTAATATTGTTTGACTCTTCAATTTAAACAAAGGAAGATTAATCAGTAATTAAGTGCAATTGGTTCTCTCATTCAATAGTACATAACTGAAGTTTGGCCTAGCCATGCAGGTTAAAATATTAGGGACTAAGTGCTTGGTTTGTCATAAACAGGTTTATTTGTCTATAGTACTATTCAAGAATACTTTTTTTTCATTCATGTTAAATTCTTTTAGCTTAGTGGTGAGACATCACCAGTGTCAGTAACTGAAACTGATGTTATGCCCTTCAAAACTGTTAATACATTTTTCAGTTATTTTGTATTTTCAATTTAAACTAATATTTCAATTTAATATATTTTTCAATTTACAAATATTTTCAAATTTCAAATTAATTTTTTTTAAAAAAAATCAAAAAAGTCCGATTTTTGATTTAAATTAGATTTTTTTAAAATTTTTATTCAAATACACTGTGAGAAATTTAATTTATGATGAAAAATACTTTATAAATGTTTAGTCAAAATTAAATTAACAATTAATTTTTCGTTATATGATACATAGCTTTGAATGCATGGCAACCATTTTGGAACAAATACATGATTGAAATTTAAGGACTGGATGAAATGGAGAATTTAAAGAGTAACTTCAGGGATCTGTTTAGGTTTTTCAGAGAGGCACCTATTTTGTGAAAATTTAGACATAATTTGTGGAAATAAAAAATTATATCAAAAAATCAACTCAAAAATATTTAAAAAATATGGATTTATCGTTTCTTACGAGACACAAAAATAAAATTTCAAGAAAAAGTATTTTGTGAAATTATTCTACAGTTTTTCCTAAAGTTGAATTTGTGAAGGTACCGCTAAACGGTAGTAAATTTAACTTGGACAGACCCCTGTTCAGCTATTAAAGCAAAGTTTCAATTAGCAAACCATAATTTTAATTTAAAATTGTGATTTCTAATTTTTCCCTCTTGATTTTTAAAATGACTAAATAAATGTGACAGATTGTGTTTATAAATATAGTCATTCATCAAAAAATAAATAAATATTAAATCTATATATTTTTATATTAAAATATTCATTTTTAATCCTACATCAATAAAATATAATGTAGATTTTAATTCCATGCTTTTTTAATCAAAAGGTAGAATTTTAAATAACATTATTTGCATTTAAAAAAAAAATCATGTTTATTAATTACCTTCTACAGCTATGCAAGTCTTTATTAAGACAGCATTAAACGTATACTTTAATCTGTACTTTCAATCTCAAGAATCAATAAGATTTTTAAAAATGCAATTTCAAATGTGTTGCAATTTAACACACATCAAGAAAGAAAGTAATTTCGTTATCTAAAATTAATTAATGTAGCAGTTTATTTGAAATAAATTTTAAAACTAAGAAAAGAAAATAATAAAAGTATCAATAATTGAAACCCTGTTTTTTAACGTTTAAAATAAATATGTATAAAAAAAAATCAGTTGATTTAAATCAATGATTTTTAAAAAAAAAAAAATCATTTGATTTAAATCAGGATTAAAATCGTGATTTAAATCAAGCTGATTTAAATCAACAAACCCTGCAAAATAGTAGTAGTACAGATTAACAAAATCAATATCATCTGCTATTGTCGATTTTCTACGGTTTTCCTGAACGAATAAGTACTTTTTTTTTCTTCATTAACTTAGCTTTTAAGTACATTGCTTATTTCTTTTATTTCAATATGCATCTATTATTTAAATTAATTGAGCATCATAGGTGTCAATAATAGTATGGCGATTTTTTACGTTTCTCTAAAATGAATTGGTACAGTTTTTCCAGGTATAACTAATTATTTTTTTACATTCAATTACCTTTGATTATAATCTATTTACTTTTATTTATAAATACACGTTGCGCAAGATTTACTTTAAACAAAATAAACGCATGGTTTTAGATAACTTTAGGAATGCTAATATAGTGACGTAGTTCTCCCTCGCTAACATATGGTGGATTTTCTTATGCGATTTCCCAATTGATTTCAGGATATTCAAATTACAAAATGTATTATAATATTATTTAAAAAATTGAGACTTAAACTTTTAGTCCTTCATCATTCATAAATTCGAGTATCATATCTGAATATTAATTTATTTATTGTATCATTATTACTGTATCATTTCAATAGTATTACTTTGAAATTTTCTTGGTAAGACATTGTTAAAGCAAACTTTTTACTTTTATTTTTTAGCAAGGAAGCCTAACTCCAAACTACCACTTGGAACGATTTTTATATATTAATTTACATATTTGTATTCGGCTAATATTTTATTAATGCAGTTCTCAAATAATTTTAATAATGAATAATTTTTAGAAGAACAGTGAGAAAAAAAAAGAAAGAAAAAAAAAGCAGAATACCCCGAATAACTTTCGATCTAATGATCTCTCTAATGTAATGATTTTGGTCTAATGATAACGTCTCTAAACTTAACGACTTTTTCAACTCTTTTACTAATAAAACAAAAGTGACAATTCAAAAAAAAAAAAATGGTTTGAATTATAATTAAAGAGGAAGTTAACAATTTCGAAATTATTAAAAAGTATTTTTTAAAGTAATTTATTAGTTTTTTAATAGATTTTATAATATTTTGTGCAGCGTTTATGTGAAAATCTAAAATGTTATCATTTCCTCATAATTATTTTTTGAAATATCTCTTTAATATTCTTATTTTCGATTAATGAAACTATTCTCATTGTTTCATGCAATTTAAGAGCTATTGTAGTACATTTATTTTAGTTAAAAATATTTCTTTAATATTTTCATTTTCGATTAATTGAACTATTCTCATTGTTTCAAGCAATTTAAAAGCTATTGTTGTGAATTCATTTTAATTAGAAAAATATTATATTATTTTTTGTTTGACTATTTCTTAACATGCTGGAAAAGTTTAAAAAAAATGTTTTAGTTTAATTTCAAACAAACCAAAAAGAATCTGTTATTCTCCCCGCTGTGTGAAAATTAATATTTAACACCATTTTCTTTGCCTGTGACTTTATATTAATTTTTTTTTTTTGGAAGTTTAAGGATCAAAAATGAAAACGAAGAAATTGGACATAATATTGAGTAGCAAGATTTAAAAAAAATTAGATATATACGAATCTATGCTTGTAATTCAATATACTAATAAGCACTTTGATAATAATTAAATTTAAATGAACTGTATATTATTTTTTTTATCCAAGGCGATTAACAGATGACGCTAATTTTTTTTTGACAATTGTATGAAATATAAACTATGTACATAAAGATAAATATTTATTCATCATAAACACATTTATAGCATAAAACATTTTTAACATATTTTCATAAATTGTGAACATATTAAAAAAACTTCGTTCAAATTATAAAACTGAGCAATTATGATGTTTTTTTTTACATTTTTTTTAATGAAAATTAAATAAAACAATGATTCTTTAATTTAAAGCTCATCATTCTGGGAAGATTTAAATTGGATTTTTAAAATTTAATTTAAATTGTTCATTCATTTTATGAAGAACTAAATAATTTAAAGGGGACGATAAACTGATAAAATAAAAAGAATAAATTAACGTTTAATTGTAACACTAATATATGTTTAGGTTATTACTATTATATGATAAATAAATCGGGATCTATGCTATAACTTTTAATATTGAAATATTTAATCAGTATTTGAAAAAAATTCTTATTTTAAAGTGATTTAAATGGTGATTTTCAATTAATGCTTTGTTTTAGTTGCATTTTTAATTTGTATTAAGACAGTATATAAATTATTTATATTATGACAGCATATTTAATTTAAAACAATGGCCCGATTTAAAAATAATCTAGATTCATATTTCTCTTTTTAAATAAATAATAAGTTTTTTTTTTCTTTCGCTTTTCATTTATCTTTGATTAAAGCTCATTTATTTTAAACAAGCTAATTTATTTTAAAGCTCATTTATTTTAATTTCTTAAACTACATTATTTCTGATAATATATACAATACCAATTTTTAAAATCACCTGTTAAACATTTTTGAAATTAACAATCGCAATTTTTATAATTATTGAAAATTAATTAATCNTAAACAACTATTTCTTAAACTACATTATTTCTGATAATATATACAATACCAATTTTTAAAATCACCTGTTAAACATTTTTAAAATTAACAATCGCAATTTTTATAATTATTGAAAATTAATTAATCACTAACTTATTACTAAGTTAGAAAGAAAAAAATTAAAAATAATTTTTTAAATTGAAAAGAATTAGTTTGCGAAGGTTAAAATTGAGTTTTCAATGAATAAATTTTTACAAAAATTTTCTGAAAAGGTTACATAGGCATTAGATACTTTTTTTACGTTAATTAAAAAAAATCTTTTTCTACGTCCGCGACAGGACTCGAACCTGCAATCTTCTGATTCGAAGTCAGACGCCTTATCCATTAGGCCACGCGGACACGTTCTGTGAAGCTAAGTGATTCATAAAAACAAAACATTCAGAATATATATTTATTTGAATGACGAGAATTATACTGTTTTCTTTTTCAAATTTTAATACAGTTTTTAAATGTTTTTTTAAATAGTTCTTCAAATAAGGATTTAATAACTAAAAAGGCAAAAATTATTTTTATTTCCATGTATCTATTACCCATATTATTATTTACAGAGAAATAGTAGATGAAACCTTTACTTTTAATCGAAATACGAAAATAAATTACTATTATTAAGATTTTCTTTACTTTAAATTATTAAATTTTTCTGGCCTGATATTTAGCTACAATTAACACAAAATATATTTTTATTATCATCTATTTTAATAAACGTAAAATTACGAATTTTTCTCAGTTAATTTGATTTAAAATATTTTAAATTGAGTGAAATAAAAAAAAAAAACATTGCCAGCATGCTTGTTTTTATTTATTTATTTTTTAAAAATTTTTCTGATCGTCGGTACTCTGAATTAATGAATGAATCAATGAATCTGAATCAGTAAATGAAAATTAAATACATGGCAAAATTCTGTTTGAAAGATGATAAATTAAGGACAGTGTAAAAAATATGACATGCTATTAAAATTTAAAAGTTATTATCAATTTTAATTAATGATAATATAAAAAAATTGTATTTTTTATTTTGAAAAAGAAAAAAACATGTCTGAAATCAACTAGCAAATAATAAATATTAATAAATATGTGAATTTATAAATAAGTAAATTATATATAAATAAGTAAATTATATATAAATAAGTAAATTATATATATAAACATTAAATATCATTTTCAAAAAATAATTATTACGTTATGAATTAGGAAATTAGTTAAAAAACGATATTTGATTAAAAACGCTCGTTTAAATTTATGATTTAATTAATTAAATAATTATAATTAATTTGCCTATTTTGAATGTGCCAATGAGCTTAATGAATTAATTTTAATTCTGGTTGTAGATCTCTCTAAACCAGTCCGAGAAAAAAAAATACATATATTGAACCGAGTCGAAACGAAACTCATAAAAATAAATAAATAAACAGTTCGAAATAAGGAAAAAAAGAAGTAGATTCATTATAATCTGAATTCAAATTGGTAGGAACAAAACAAGTTCGAAATTTGAATAAACCAAAATTCAAAAATAAGGATTGATTAAAAAATAATAACAATAAATATATATTTGAATCAAATTAATTATAAAATTTAGCCAAAATTACCTTCATAATTACCTTCATAACCTATATCTCGCATAAATTTCAATTTATAATAAGTTTTATTATAAATTGGAAATTCATAAACACACAATTTACATGCACATTCATGTGAATAATAATATCTGTATGGATTCACTTAATTTACTTCCTGATAACTTTTTTTTTTTTAGTTGGTTCAATTTAACATCAATAACAAAATCTTTAATATGTCATCAGTGAGTTTTTTTAACTTGTTATCATCATATGTGAATCATAATTATGTTAATCATTGATCATATGTAGTGTTATATGTCAATCATTTTCAAGTCCTTAGAAGCGGCATACATTGAGTCATTTAGTAGTTTAAATTTTATACCGCAAAACGGATTTCATAAGTTAAAATTTCTAGCGACCCAATTAATTCTTAAAATAAGAACATTTAAGACGTCTTTTTTCAGGTAGATTATATTTAGTCCACTACTTGTAATTTCTGCAGAATTCAAACAACCATAAAAAGCAAACGATTATCGCTGTGAGAAATCTCGTGAATAAACTTAAACTTAACTCAAAAATAAAAGCTTAAAATTATGCTAAGAAATCGACTTCAAAAATAGTTTTTGTCTCATAATTGTCATCAATGTTACACAAAAAAGTTAAAGTATCTTTGAGACAAATAATATAAAGTCAGTAGGTTGTAATTTGTGTAAAATTCGAACGACTATAAAAAACAAACGATTATTACCGCAAGAAATCTAGAAAGAACATGGAAATGGTTTTTAGAAAGGAATTTCATTAGTGTTTTCAATCTTGTTTCGCTGTGGAATTTCATAAGCCACAAAATCATGCAGTTAAACCTCCTGTAGCTGTATGACGTCAAAAGCTGAGAATTTTTTTCACCATTCCATGCGGTGTCTTTATGGAGAACAGTAATTAGAAAGAGAAGACATAAAATTAAATATTGGTTACCTAATTTTTCAAGCTCTATTCTAGTTTCAGCAAAGAACTTGTAGCACTACTTTCTTGAATGTGAAATATGTGGTACAGTACAGAACCCGTTATCCGGAAATCAGAAAACCGGGAAACCAAAAAACCGGAACAAAATTCGATAAATTTTCCCGTCATTTTTAAAAAAAAATTTTTTTTTCCTCATAAGATTTTAGGATTTTTTTTTTTTTTTAAAAAAGATGTTTACCTTACCATCATTTTGGAAATAATCATTAGTGTATTAGTCCATCGTTTTTTCTTCTTTTAAAGATTATTTCCACAAAAAAATTTTTTTTAGTTGGGTTTAACGATAAAAAAAACGGCTTTTTGTAGCGATTCAGAAAACCGGAAAAATCAGTTATCCGGAATACCAATGGTCCCGATCGTTCCGGATAATCGGTTCCCTACTGTATTTTATTTATGATTGTAAATTTTTTTTCCATGAAGTCAATGACCTGATTCGTTAATAAATATATGTATTCGATTTAAAAAAAAAAATTATAAATAATTTTTTTACAAACATAACTTAATGAAATGTGTTTTCTTTCTTTTAAAAAGGAATAATTTTAATTTGAAAATTTTGTTTCCACGTTCTACTAAAAAATATATGTTTATAATAGAATTTATTCTTTTTTTTTCTTTTCTTTTCAGGTAAATACTGATAAAGAAAACTTTTCCTGCCATAACTTTATAGAAACATGTCTTTATTCCTTTAAAAAATATATAATTTTTATAAAACTTGAAATTGCAAATTCTGCTTCCATGTCTTACTTAAAAAGTGCATGTACTGCAGAAATCTTTAATTATTTCTTTTCAGGTAAATGCTTGACGGTTGTTGAACCTCAGATTCCAAGTACTACTATTTGAATTATTTGGAGATGTGTGTTTTTGCTATCTACTCTGGGAAGATTTAAATTGGATNGGTATTTTATTTATGATTGTTAATTTTTTTTCCATGTAGTCAATGACCTGATTCGTTAATAAATATATGTATTCTGTATTCGATTTAAAAAAAAAATTATAAATAATTTTTTTACAAACATAACTTAATGAAATGTGTTTTCTTTCTTTTAAAAAGGAATAATTTTAATTTGAAAATTTTGTTTCCACGTTCTACTAAAAATATATATGTTTATAATAGAATTTATTCTTTTTTTTTCTTTTCTTTTCAGGTAAATACTGATAAAGAAAACTTTTCCTGTCATAACTTTATGGAAACATGTCTTTATTCCTTTAAAAAATATATAATTTTTATAAAACTTGAAATTGCGAATTCTGCTTCCATGTCTTACTTAAAAAGTACATGTACTGCAGAAATCTTTCTTTATTTCTTTTCAGGTAAATGCTTGATGGTTGTTGGACCTCAGATTCCAAGTACTACTATTTGAATTGTTTGGAGATGTGTGTTTTTACTTTCTACCTACAAGGTCTGGAAAAAAAATTTTTTTTTACGAGGAAGTTAAAAAAAAATCTTAGTTTGTTTACTGTATTGAATGTTATTCAGAACGTTTAAAACATTTATAGCCTAGCAACAATATTCAACCCGGAATTATAACAACAGAGAGAATCAGTAATTTAACCCTTTAACGCAGATTTTTTTATTTAATAAATTTTTCATGTTTTTTTTCATTATTTTAATAATTTATGGTTATGAAATACAGCATATATGAAACAACTATATCGAAGCAATAATTTTTCAAATTAGCACTTATTTTCAGTTACTTAGATCTAAGAGAAACAATTATTAATCATTAAAATTTCTTTAATTTACGAAATTAATTAATATTGCTAAATTTTTGAATATGATTGAAAAAAAATTTCTTCAAACTATGTACTTTTTTTGGATTTTATATTTTTGTATAAAAATAATTCGGAAAATTTAACAGATTTTTTTAGTAACTATAAGATTGTTTTTATAATTAAAAAATATCAAAATATATTTACTCGTTATTAGAATTTCAGAAAAAAAAAATTATAAAAAGGATACCAATGTCCCTCTCCATCTGCGTCAAAGGGTTAACTTTGCTAACTTGACGTTCAAGTGATACTGAAAAAGAACTTAATTCTAAGTAATCTTTCATAATTAGGACTGGGTGATGTTAAGAATTTGGCATCGCGATATTCCGATACATCGCAATGTTTCGTTACATCAATGTGTTTCATTTGTTACTGTGTAATTTTGAATTAAACAAATGAATTTGGAATGAAATAAGAAGTATCAAAAAATGCTATGAATTTGAATGGTTAAGTAGTATTTTTTTTTCTGAAAAAATGAATAAATCACATCAGTGATATAACAAATAAAAAAATTAATTATTGAATAAAGTAGCACAACTTAAGCAGGAAGGGGGTGTGGACTGACTGCCGCAGAATGTGTTTTTAAGGTGCAAAATTGCAATTAGTGCAAAAACATGATTTTGGATAAAATGTTAGTAATTCAGTTTACTATAAATTTATAATCCCTGTAATCTTAGCTTTCTAAAAATACTACACTTTTGTCTGCACTCGATTTATTTACAAAGTTATTGCAGTTTTTGTGCACTTTGATAGCATTGTATAGACTTATTTTAAGTCTAAAAGCTTTACATAATATTTTTTCACATTTTACGTCACCTTAAACACCGTATCTCATGTTGTTTTTAAAATAATCGTCTACAATTTTTCATGGGTGTTTATGATTATAGTACACATGTTTCGAACTTCAGACTAAGATAAAAAAAAAAGTAGAATTTCCTTTTTCATGCATGTTTTTTCGCAAAGACGAGTGCGAAATTTTAAAAATTCTGATTTTTTAGTTACAATGATCCCTAACTCAGTAGTATACTAATATATGCACTTGCTTTTAAGATAATAGTTCAAAACATAGTTGATAGCTCTCTAAATAAAAACCTTAAGCGATATTTTTGTTTTGGGGGTTAGAAATTTTTTTACGGTGTTTATCGTAAGATGCAAAAAAATGCCTTAATTTTACCTAAATGTGGCCCTTTAAAAAAACAAAAATATAATAATAATTTTTTGTTGTTGCTAGTTTTATAAGTTTTTACATATTTGTTTTTTAAAAATTTATATTAATATTAAAAAAAAGTTTTTGAAACTAGTCGGATACCTTAATTAAATAATAATAAATATAAAATCTAAACTAAAATGCACATTTTTAAAATCTTCTTAAAGAGAAAGAATTTGGAGAGAATTGATCATCGCGTAAGCTTGAAACCATCTATGCACTATCAAGAATTATCCTCTTCATCGTGCATGCAGGTATCAATGTCTATGATGCATCGGAAAACATCGTATACATCGCAGATAAATCGTAATCTCCGATGCTTCGAAAAATACGCTGCATTTGAAACTTCATGGTTTATTTTAGGTTTACTTTTACTCACTTTTTCTATACTTTAAATTACTTATAAAAATGAAAGAGAATTTGTCGTATAGGGTTTCTCACGCTATACGTAAGGGATGTTCGAAATTCTATTATTCTGTGCGTCTCTAATATCTTCACACCTCTGGTCACTTCATAAGAGGCTTCATTTAAATAATATTTACATAATCATTAAAAACACAGTCAATAGTACTTTAACACGGAAGAAAGAACAACAGAGATGAAATGCTTCAATGAACTGTGTTTATAAGTAAATAATAAATCAAGCGTAAAAAAAGCAATCAAGAGTTAAAAACATTTACACGTGTTTTTTAATTGCTTTTGTTCTTTTCACGGTCAAATGATGTGGTTTACTGACCAATCAATGGATGATCGAACTCATAAGTACTTTCTTTCTACAAAATAGAGAGGATAACAAAGACAAGAAAAAAAAAATTTAACAGGCTATTAAGAACGACCTATATTGTTTGGAAATGAATATAAATTATTAGAGGTTGAAGGTTATCATTAAAAAAGAAATGGTTTGTGTTAAGCCTCTTGTAGTCCAACGCCCGTCTCTATTGTAAAAATAGATGTATTTTAGATGTAAAAATCTCATTTCTGTTTTGTCTTTTATCTTGTAGCTGTTCGTAAATTAAATTTTTTAAATGATGCTATTCTTGTTCTTTAAGAAACATTAAATTGCATGGATGTATTTTATTTCACTTTGTATTGTCATAATCATAATTAAGGTCGCTGGAAAAAAAACAAAAAAAAAACAATATGATTACGATGTCATTAAAACTGAAATTTTTAACAATTTTAATTCGTACAAAAGTTCGCCCCATAATTTTTATTTCTTCGAATATATAATTATTTTTATAATTTCTACATTAAAATCAATTAATTTGCTTCTGCATTTCTTACCTTAAATAGGTATTAAGGTTTGTTTGTATTTTTAACAATGATAATCTCGGAAAAAAGTTTAAAAAAATATTTATGTTTTACATATAATTTATTTTTTTATATGATTTTTAATAGAAAACGATTAAAACATCGATTATGGCTTTAATCGATTTTTCACAATATTAGCTTTTTCTCGGAATCAAAAACATGACAGAAATAAATCGGCTTCTACGGTTTGGTCTGGAATTCGATTTTTCGTGCTAACGTCCCATCGTATAACGCTTTATCTAATCGATGTTATTAACTTTTTCTAATCGATGTAACAGGGGATTTATGAATCGGAGAAGTCGGAGCGGGAGGTTGAGAAGCGTGGTATGGAGATCAGGGAAGTTGCTACCCCCTCAACTACGATTTAATTTGTGGTTATACTGCATGCACCAGCTGTCTTTGAATTATCGCGAAGATAAATTCCAAACTGTCACCAGTAGTGACGTTTACAATAAATATGAAAGAAATACTGATAATTATAAATAATGGTTTTAATCGTGATCCATCTACATTAAATATTTTGTAGCAATACATAATATGATGATTTATAATGAACATGACAGAACTTTTTCAAAATTAATTTTTTATTTTGTTCCGTTATAGAAAATAATAGAGAATTTCAGGCCTTATAAGTTTAATTGCTACCAAGAATAAATGTTGGTATTCCTATTGCTTTATGATAAGAGATCTTTCTTTGTAAACCAATTGTTTTTTTCATTTCAATTCCTCATTACTTTTATGACTATTAACCTATTACATCTTTAAAATGCTATTTAAGCACTAAATCATTTAAAATGTATAATACAATTATAAAATAATGTGGTTATTAATATTGAGATAAAAAAAAATTCTAAATTTCTGAGTTGTAACTTAGGATGTTCCAATCAGGGGGAGGGGCATCGAGGTTCAAAGATTTAAAATTCGAAATCTCTATTGCAAAGTTTTAATCTTTTATCTTATTTTAAAAAAAATAATCGTTTTTTTTATAGTGCCAATGTAGAGCTTTTAACTGATATCCGCTCTTTTAGAAAACTTCAATAAAAAAGTAAAAGCAAATAACTTTTATTTCGAAAATGCCATAAAACAAAAAGAAACGGAACTTGATGCGTTTATTTCCTATCTTCCGACATTTTCAAACGATTAAATTTTGTGATGAAAAAATGTTTCCAAGGGAACATTGTCTTTATGTGGGAATTCCCGCGCTTGCAAAACATATAACGCAACGGATGAAATACCAACCGTGCAACTACGCACAGAATTTATGATGATCTTTTTTCTATTCTTTATTATGTCCATGAGAACTTTAAAGTTTCGAAAGATTAAATACATCTTCACACATGCATGGTTTTAAAACGGAATATAAATATTTCATTAAATTGGGCATAAATTTAATAAAAGGACAGACTGGAAAAAATGCCAGCCATTTCATAAGCACAGTTCCTATGAAATGAAAAACTAATGAAATAAGATTTTAAAATTAATAAGTTTTAATAAATTTAAAAAAAATTGAGGGAGATTGTAAACAAATGTAAAAATAATTATTAAGAACAGAAATCGTTTTCTCCGTTATCATTTATTACTAAACCTATAAGGCATTGAAAACTATTTTTTTTTCGTTGCGGATACCCATTATAATAAGTGCGGTAAAACAACACATACTTGATACTTACGATAAAAATTAAGATAAAATAAATTAATTCTTAAAAATTAAAAATTAGATTTACAAGGTAACACAATTTCGATATATTTATGAAATTCTTTCAAGAAAAATCAATTAATTAATAAGGTCTTCATAATTTAAGATTAAACTCATAACTCTTAAAAAATGAATGTCGATTTTCTTCATCTGAATATTAATTACTTAAAAAAATTTCCAATAATTGGTTAAGAATTCTATTAAAGGTATTTTAAATTTTTGCCCACTGTGTGTATGCGTTTTATTAAAAAAAAATTGATTTAGAAAATAAATCTTGTGATTATGTGAATAAGTAGAAATATTTGTTTTAACTTTATTAAAAGTGTTTAAAAAAATGATAGGAAAAAGAATTTGTTCCTCTGCAACAGATATAGTTGGCGCGAACAGGTACCGTTACTGAAATATCCCTCAACATATAACATGGCTTGGCTTTATTTATTTGAAATTCTGTTTGTAGTCTAATTATTACTCGGT